TAACCATTCTTCTACGCTATATAATCTTTTGATGTGATTGCTTGTAAGACTCCATTGTTGATTATGCTGAATTGATCAACCACTATGGCATACAACCTTCGATTCGCCGGTACTTTTAATGTTGATATTAATGAAGGAGGGCACTAGTAGGGGCCCTCTATCATCTGAAACTCCTAGTCCTGGCTCTGTGTTTAAGTGGGAATGACATAACTCACTGAGAGAAGGGTTCATCCAACTTAAGAGGTTAGGTTGTTGGCATTTATCTGCAAAGTTCATTTCAAACCTAAGGAGAAGTGATACCTCCTCTGAGATTCAAACTTATTGTCAGGTGCTACAGTCGGACACGTTAACGCTTAGGTATTTGGTTCGGAATTGATTTCCTGTATGATACGTTATAGGTTAAATTTCACTCTTATCTATTTTGATAACAAAAATATCCTACGACTGATTCTTATTCTACAGAATGGGGCCTGGTAAAATAGTAGAATACCAATCTTTCTTTAGAAGCTAAAAGCCCTTGAACAGTTTCACTTGCATGTAAGCAGCATTGGGATCTACTTAAAAGACGCCTCATCAAAGTTAATCAATAGACTGGAAGCAGGTGGCGAGCACTTGGTGATTAACTTGTTTCAGACAAAGATCTATTCATACTCTACTGCAGATTATTACTAAACCAGCTACAGCTTATTGAAGAGGATACATTCAATCGATGGTTTCTAAATAGTAAGAAACGTATGGTATGAGCTCCACTTCTAATCAATATTTGTCGTTACTATAACTCTTACAGTTTGTCTCCCTTAGTGCACATATGAAGACTTATTTGGACAAGTTATTTTGCAGTATTTAAGTAACTAAAGAAACTTGGATCTTTCCTTGTTCTATATTGTTGACACGATTGCAGCTGTGACACAGTTTCATCCATCTGTTAGGTTATTTTGAAGGAACTATAAGTAGTGATAAGAGAATTTTAAGCAGTAGAAATAGGGTGTTAATGAATATATCTTAACTACTCTCCTAGCAAACAATTTCAATATTATAAAGTAGATAGATAAAATCTTTCTATCGGAGTTTTAATTGTACAAAGATAAACTTGAAGTAAGGGATGAAGTTTTTCAGAATTAAAGTGTCAGTTGGAAAGAAATTCAATAATCGAACCTGCGAAACCCTTTGAAAAGTTCACAGTTGTGAATAATTGATAAACACAATTTAATGAGTAGAAATTCAGCACTGTGACAGAGTTCTATAGTACACAGCTCACAATAGAGCAGTTTGATTTCCTGAATTAACGTGATATGAATACGTATCGAGTAAGAGATACCTGATCACTATCTGGTATATAAACCAAACTTATCTCACATAAAATTCACTGATTTACTGATCTTGTGCGACTGAATAGCACTGACTGATTTGAATGCCATTAGGTTTCCAATCTCTAACATGATTTTAAAAGGATAAGGAATTATGGATAGTGGAACACTACACCACTTCGGCTTTTGCACTATCTAAAACAGAATTTTACATACTATCAAAAAAAGTTTTCTTAGCTTACATGTTGTACATCGTTATAGAATAACTTCTTCACACATGAGTCGGCTTCGAGTAAACACGGGAATTCCACCTTTATATCAATCTGCTCCTTACCAAGTTAATCTGTTTCATTTCGCTTTACTTAAATTACTGTTCACTGCTTATTTGTCCCTTTCATCGATATGGATCACCTCAAGTTCTAATAAGAAACCATGATTTGAGGTGCTAATCAACTGACTGACAAAATCAAATTACAAGCTTGCTCACTGGTGCACCGACTTAAGTTGCTACACTTTATAGTAGTATACAAAGAACAGGTGGATAGAAAAAGATTGATATAAAAGTAGATAAAGCAGTATGAGAGAATAAACAGTTTTGAGGTAAAGTTTGACGTGAATATTCAAGCTTTAGATGTCAAAGAGTGAGTACATCTGCATCATTGTGAACGATTTTCAGCCATCTGATCATGTGTCCTCTGCCACTGACTCCTCTCATCTCAGGTACCCCAGTCAGACAGCCAATATCCCCACACGGCTCAGGTCAACAGTAAAAGGCTTCATCATTTGGTGCCAGACCTTAACCTGGCCACCCTTAATCATCTTCCACCCTAATCCAACTTCTCTTGGTATGGCACATCGAAAAGAGCTGTAGTTCAGCGTGCACAATACATGCTCAAGCAGTCTCAGTTGACTGAGGTTCATAACCTCATCAGTCGAGGGGAATGTGAAGACAAGTACTGACTCATGACAGTGGCTACTAATTGCCCTATATTGTTAATTTACGGGAACTGAAAAAATTGAAATGCTGGATTTAAGCTCATTGACTGAATAAACAGTATGCTCATCACAAGATCTAAGGGTCATGCATTAGAAAATAAAGGCACCATCCATGCACCACTTCTAACAGTCTATGATGAAACAGCTAACCGATGATCCTAAGCTTCCAGCGTGCTTCTCCAAGTAGCATCAGCATGTTATCAAATCTGTTTTGTGTTTTGATTTTAACGATGGGTGGTGTCTAACAGCGGAATCCAGGACACAATTTTTCTATGAACAGGATGAAAATTTAAACCAGTTGAGTCACAATTTCCTTAGTCATGAGTAGATAGGAAAAGTTTTCGAAACTCAACCTCCTTTTGTTCTGGATCACTCGATTCCAACTTAATGGCTCAATGTAAGTGTGCTGGCAGTAGAACTTGAAGGTCCTGGGTTTGATCCCTGTCAGAGTCAAAGGTGCGAACTGCTGAAGGGTCCCTGTACTAGGACAAAATACCCGTCCAGTGCCCCCAGGTTTCCAACGTTTCTCTAACTGATGTCAATCTATACAGAATGCCAACTTGAAGTCAATGAGTTCTCCTAAACCCCAAAAATGAAAGAGTCAGATTAATTTTGTATTATAACAACGAAATCTACCAGTTTTTTACTGCTCAGTACATGAATTTAAAAGGTAACAGTCCATAAACTACTGTTATCTCGCTAGTAATACTTTACAAGAATACATTATCCCTTTATATGTGTCTCCAGAGAAGTGATTGCTTTAAAGTTTGCGTTCAATAAACAATAAATCCCATGCTGGATTGAGGTGTAGTGCAATTATGAGTTCTCGATGAGTTCTCGACGATAACTTTGTAGATGACTTCATTCTTGATAGATGTATAGTCGCAATTTATACACTTTTGTTTAACTATAATGGATAGTTACAAAAACTATTTAATCAATCCTAGTAACAAAGATGAAGTTGAATGAAGATAAAAAGTCCACGGGTGTGATACATGATGAAAAATTGATCCCGAAAGAACAAAGAAATCAACATAATTAACCGGATAGAATATAAAAATGCATAGTGCGTGAAAACAGTTTTCTAGATTAAGCATGATCAAGCGAAAGATGAAGATCGATGCATTGTTAGCAATTTACTAAGTCCAAAGTAGTAACCAAGGTTGATCAAGTATCTCTTGTACACATAATCCTCATTTCTCTATGTACTTGGCAATAGCATCCGCAGTATAGAGAATGTGGAAGCGCACCATTTTTGATAAATTTCCTTTCATCCTGTAGATGATTTTGAACACCGAATCAGTTGCGATGTTGTGATCCATGTTGGCAAGGTCTTCAATAACTGCACTTCTCTTTGCAACCAGACGGGGTAATGTTCTATAACCCCTTTGGGAAGAATGCACATCAAACGACCTACATGTCTGAATGAATTTCCACAGTTGGGTACCTACTAGTCGAAAAAACGTTATTGTGTTCCTTTCTGACAGTATTCAAAGAATCTGTAGCACTGATAGCTTAGAAGAACCAATGTATCTTAAAATGGTTCTAAATGCAAATGGATATCTAACACGATTTATGCAAAAGAGTATAAGATCCAAACTGCAAAGAGCGATACCAATTTCAGTTTCAAAGAAGATAATATGCATGAACCATTACTTCAAAGATGAATTCACCGCGGATGTTCTGAAAGGAAGAATTTCAAACTGACTAAAAAAACTATCTTCATCTCAAAGATGAGAATGGTCAACTCAAGTCGTCAAATGCTTCCTAGCTATCAGAAGGGTAACCTCCTGCATCTGACCTTTTCCATATGTGTTTATCGATTCACCTGCTTCTGTAGTGCCAGATATGTAGTATGTATGTATGTATGTTTTTCATGTATATTGTTTGAGCAGATTTATGGTGAAACCTCTCTGACATTCTACCAGATATAAGTTCGACTATACAACCTGACAAAAAAGTTGTTGAAAGGGAACATTTCTTCACTGATAAAAACATCTTATTCTTCTTATCCACGCATATATGGGTATATTCCGTCAGCGCTTCATAGTAAAGCAAACAACTTAAATCGTTCGAATCCTTCGAACAGAATGAATAGCCTATACAATTACAATACTCTTGTTGACAGTTCGCATGATGCGAAATTAATAATTAAATTTCATAGTAATACGGATATTATTTTCTCCTTTAAACTTTTTATAGGTTTACTTTTATTTGTAATGGGGGATAATTCAGACCTAATTTCGACTTTCTGACAGTATTCTTATCGCATTTGAACACGCTGAAATTATTTCCTTCTTCAAAAGATGAAATAAGTGAACTGAAAGTGCTGTAAACGTACAACTTTGTGATAAAAGAAAAAAATATTTCTTTATTCAATTTCGGTATTTTTTCTGTAGTTTATCCTAAATAAATAGTAAAACAAATTTTACCTTCATTTAAGCCTTCTTGTGATTGGTCAATACAGTCTACAAGCAAAAATAAAAAGTTTATTTTCGATCAACCAATCAAAGAAATGGAAAAGTTAAGATTTTTAGATATTCAAAATTCTTGTTTTTGATTAGTGTGTGTAACTCATGTTATTAGAAATCTCAATCCATTAGAACAAACAATTCTCATATGATATATGTATGCAAAAAGAAGCAAAAAAGGAGAATGAGAGACAGAGAAAAGGCAGCATGTGTTGTACACTTCTCATCTACCTCCCCCTTGACTATATGGATAACATGTGAGTGGACATGTTCACTCATGGTGTGTCAGTCAAACCTACTACAAGGCACTGCCTCTTAGAAATGATTATCATTATTATTATTATTATTGTTATTATTATTACTATTATCTTCTTCACTTATAAAATTATGACTAGTTGTGTACTATGGAAATAATGTGGCACAAACCATTCACATTTAAAACATGCTACAACTATAAGTTAAAATAACAAATTAAACAAGTTGTCTTATGATTTCTGAAGGTGATTTTTTCTGAAATATAATCAAAATATCCACCAAGTCAATGATTGTCTCATCTGAACAGGAATTAATTCTCTTTACAATTTAGGAAAAAAGTATCCTGAATAATTCTGCATTCCATAAAATATGTTTATATTACTTTTTCTTGTTGATTATATTTACTTTTCTACACTTTGGTTTACAGTCAAATGTGAAATAAAACTATTGAACATTGATAACAGTAAAACAAATAATGAGGTTAGTTTAAATTTTAAACATCGTATTCAACTTCACTTGAACGATAATACACCAGCGAATTATTTGATTGGAAATATTTTAAATGGAAATTATATTAAACATCAACAAGAAACACGTCAACCAACTAAATTTATTCGTTCCATGCTAATCCCAGATACATATTTTCATTTGACAACACAAGGTGATTTATATACACGGGATATAATTGATCGTGATCAAATCTGTCATCGACTAGACTGTTGTCAACTAGAGTATTGTCAAGTTAATATTGAAGCATATTTGTTTAGTATGAATCCTACACCAATAAAAATTCAAGCTACAATCTTTATTGCTGATGAAAATGATAATACACCTGTATTTCCTAAAACGGATATTCAGAATGATAATATGCACAATAATATTGGTCGTTATGAGAATTTAAGCATTTATGAGTTGAATATACCTGAGTCCGCTTTAATTGGGACTAGGTATTCCTTGCCTATGGCTACAGACTTAGACTCACCACGTTATGGAATTAAACAATACCAATTACAGCTGATTAACGATCAAACATCTAACAAAGTGATTACCAATGATAAATTAAGAACAAGCTCGTATTTATCACAGCTGGAATCACCATTCACCTTAATTAATCCTATAAAATTGATCAGTAATAGGGCTAATTCTAAATCTGATCTAGGATCACCACAACTTCAGGTTGATCAACAATTGGATCGTGAAGAAAAATCAATATATTATTATAGATTGATTGTTCAAGACAATGGACAACCACCCTTACAATCTGCTATTCTACTACATGTTAAAATTACTGATGTGAATGATAATTCACCGAGATTTTTCAATTTATCTACTGATACTACTCGTGATACGACTGATACTACAACAACTACTAATAACAATAATATTTACATCATGGAAAATACAACAATCGGTTCAAAAATTTATCAGTTTCATACAATAGACTTAGATGCAGATGAAAATGGAAATGTTACCTATTGGATTGACTGGAAATCATTGTATGGTGATTTAAATCAACTCAATATTCAGTCAATTGTAACAAAATATACACTGAATCCAATCAATGGTGAATTACGTATATCAAATGAATTGGATTATGAGAATGAATATGAACGAAAAATTGTCTTATTGATACAAGCTGTAGATAATGGTCTACCAAAATTGACATCAAGTCTAAGTTTCACTGTTAATTTAATTGATATTAATGATAATGAACCAGAAATTGAAATGTTACAAACACAGTCTACTGATATGGATATAAGTAGTAAAAGCAGTGAAATACCTTTATTATATGAAAATGACCCTAAATCACAGTTATTACGTTTATTATCTATAAAAGATAAAGATAGTTGTTCTGTTAACAAGATAACATGTCAATTAATTGATGAAAAAGAAAATCGTTTAAACTTTCGTCTAATTTCCTATTCAAATTATGCTTATGGTTTATTGAATCAACGTGAATTTGATTATGAGAAAGACACAAATACAAATGGTCACCTATTAGCTGGTATACAATGTCAAGATTTAGCTGAACCGCCAAAATTAATTAAAAAATGGTTTGAAATACCATTGGGTGATTTAAACGATAATTGGCCACAATTTAATCAAACAAATTATGAATTTTATATTTATGAGAATGTACCAATCAACACACATATAGGGTATATTCATGCTACTGATATGGATTCAGGTATAAATGGTAAACTAGTGTATGAATTAATGTCTGATGACATGAAATTGCATAATCTAATTAAAATCGATATAAAGACTGGACATTTGTACACAGCTGGTCTACTTGACAGGGAATTACTAACTGTACTGAATTATTTAGTGACTGTTACAGATTGTGATGGTGGCCAAAATACTATTACCAATCATAATGATGATGAAAACTCAAATTTGAAACAATCAATTAAAACAAACACAACAAGTTTAAAAATTCACATTCTTGATGTAAATGATAATGCACCAAAATATATTGGACCATTGGAAATACACGTGGAAGAGAATTCTCCAATTGGTACAGAAATACTAAATCGACTAGATTACACTGATCCAGATTTAGAGGAGAATTCAACAATCACTGTAAAACTGCTGGATAGATCGTATAGTTATTCATCAAAATCACAAAATGAATATATGCCAGTTTATGAAAATGGAGATAATTTTAATTCAGTGATTACTGTTGACAACCTGTTAAGATTGTATGTTTCCGGTTTATTGGATAGAGAGAACCAAGCCCAGTTCATTTTAACCTTGATCGCATTTGATCATGGCAAAGTGATCAGTCAGACAAGTACAACCACTCTGACAATTTTTATCGATGATACAAACGACAATCAACCACACTTGTTATATCCAAGGAATGCAAGTCTTTTATTCGGTATGTCTGATAGTTCTGGCTGGTTGAATAGTCTGTCGACATCGACAATACCAGCGGATACACCATTTGGCACACTGATTGCAACTATACGTGGTAAAGATCCAGATGCGGAGGAAAATGGTACAGTGATATATTCAGTGGTACCAAGCAAACAATATCATTTACAACAGCAAATAATGGAACAACAATCACAGCAACTCCAGGATATTAGTTTCGAAAGAAATTCTGTGAATCACATCAGCAGCACTAATCGTAGCATAGAGAGAGATGAAAAGAAAATACAAGAGAGGAACACGGGCAACAGGAAGTATTTAAAAATCCATGATGGATTCTTCTATTTCGCCGTTGATGAACAAACTGGTCAGCTGACAACATTTTGGGGTAATGAGTTAAAAGACACTGAAATTCTACCAGCCATCCAGAAGCAATCAGCTAACTCCAGCATACTTCATCCTGGTAAACAGTCAACTAATAAAACATATAACATGAAAAAGAAGTTGGCCAAGCAACTAAGGTCAGGCGGGTCACCGACACCTGGACTATATTTAATATCAGTCAACCTACAGGATAGAGGTAGACCACAACAAACCACTGAAGTTATCTTCTATGTGAACATTAGTGAACCTATTGGTGATCAATTTGGCTTTTGGACATTCTATGACTCGAATATGAGCAATACAATCATATTGATCTTGATTATTGTTTGTAGTTTAGCACTGATAATCAGTTTAGTAGCAGCTATATTATGGGTACGTTTCAGATCGGATCGTCAAACGTCAAGACCCATAACGAATGGTTCATGTGGAGCCTACAAGCCTGGGACATTAATCGCTCCAGATCCGCATAATCCTAATATGAATTATGAATTTTATCATTCGGGCAGCCTGTCACCCACCGGCGATAGCACATATGGAAAGGCTTACTTAAATTCGAATGGAACGACATTTATATCACCGGATGTCTTGGCAACTCACTCGAAATGGAATGATTCAATGCTTGATTGTTGTATTCCCACAGAGTATGCAACACCAGCAGGATTGTATGGTGGGACAATACTCACAGGAACATTGATTGGTAGTGCTAACCACAAACTCCCAGCATATGTGCAGTCATATTGCAGTAGTGAAGATACCAATCAATCTGCAATACACTTATATCCAATACACGTCAGTGGACAAAATGATCTCTATAATGATATGACAATCAACAGAGGTGAATGGTTACCCACCATGGAGAATCACTGCAATCTTCATCAAATAGTGGCAGACACAACAACCCCAATGTTAATTAAACATTCCGATGCACAGATTCCAAATTTCGGGCATATAGACTCATTTCCTAAAAGAATAGATTTATGTAGTAAGCATTCGCAAGTAGTCAATACAGGGAATACCGGGAACCACAATAACAGTACAGGGGGTAGTGATAGTGGTGTGGATAGTGGAGCCGGAATCATTATCCCCTCTGAATCACATCTGCGCTTGTCATCATCGCCTATAAAGGATCCAGACGAAATGGAACATCGTAATGATTCACCTCCAATAGCCAATGGTCATAATATTACCACTGGTACTGTTAATAAAGATAATAATAATAGTCGGTATGGAGTAATCACATTCTCACCTAAAAATACAATTAAATATTCAGAACAACTAACTAGGCAACAAATACATAACTACCCAAAGATGAATTTCTAAGGTAAATCTTTACCATATATTTCGTTGTCCCATGTGATAGGCTTCTTAAAATGATGCATTTTCAGTAAAAAATATCAAAGTTTTCAATCACCCACCCCCCCATCCCCCAATAAAAAACTAGTCAGGAAACAGCAATTACTTATTACATACAAGTTGGGAATTTTTATCTAACCGGTGGGACGTATATATACACATAAAAATATGTCAGAAATGAAATTCCAATGTTCTCTTTCAAGTATACATTCCAAATTTCCGTTTTCGGTAAGTTTGTGTTTATCTTAAAAATGCCGTTTGTACATATTATGTATTGATTTATTGTTAAAAATGTTGATAATATACGTTGACTTCCACGTTTATAGTTATCAGTTACAGTTGAGTAAGGTGAAATATCTTTGTACTGTGACTGACTAGAAAAAAATTGGGCTGGAGGGAATACGACTTCCTTCTCGAATGGGAATATGGCACGCCAATGAGTTTCTTCATAAGGCCGAAACCTTGGTCAAGAGCAGTTTCCTACCGATTGACTCGCAATTTTTAACACCAAAATACAACGCACTACCGTTTCGGATTACTCTGCTTAGTGTCTACAGAGAAAAACTTTACCAATATATGTCGATGAGAACTAAAAATCAAAAGTGAGATAGATGCATGCCTTACCCACTGATAACCAGTCTGTTTGATTTCATACAATGGTACAAAGAGTCTGTCATAGCTTAATGGGTCTGTGAATCATCGATAGAACACAAGTTATTTTATGGTTGCAGACACACCTATCTGATGATTTCTGATAAGAATGAAACTCTTGTGAAGACGGACCTTTTGAGGACTGACTCCCAATATCTAGAAAACTTTCGTGCGATGCATAATTTTCAACTGTTCTCCAGTCAATATTGACTTTGAATGATAAGCCTTATATGATGCTTGTATGTTCATCATTGGTCATTTTTACAACTTTTAAACTGAATCTTAAAAGCAGTATCGTCATTTGTAAATGAATACTCAGTTATACGATTAACAGACTCATTCTTACAAAGGAGAAATAAAACGGCTTACTGGTAACTGACGTGAAATTGAGATCTTGTTGTTAGCACTATGCTCACTGATGACCTACTGAAAGCGATAAATTTCTTTTAAGGAAAATATTCTAACAATTCAGTGCGTTTTAATCAGATTTTCAGTTTCATTTCTTGTCTTGCACAGTCTAACTTTTAAATATCACTTCCGTTTTACACTTAGCTTTGCTAAAAATATTCCAAAAAAGACACAACCAATTATACATCTCCATTAAACATATTTGGGTGGAAATATAGCATTTCACCGTCCTCGGGTGACCATTAACTGACCTTGATGAAGCTTAGACTGAATTGTTTCAGAATCGGTTTTAGTCTAATCCCAACTTTTATTCTAACCTCGTAAACTCTATTACCTAATTCCAAGTTCGCACCGACATTGACCTTGAACTGCTTCGTTTCAGCCAAACAAACAAACAAAATCAAACGTAGAAAGTAGCACACAGATGGATCAACTCCAGTTATCACACTTCACAGTAGTAAACAAAGGAAAAGTGGATTTTTACAATGCTTAGCTTTACACTGTTATCAAGCTTTGTAACTGACCAATAACCATTCTTAAGGTAGTATTCACTGTGGACTGAAATAATTCGGGGAACCACTGAAAACATTAGACTACCAAACAGCCATTTCCTTTAAGTTTTGGACTCTTCAACAGTGAGCACACACGACCCAACTAGGGGTCGAACTTATGACTTTCCCGTTTCATGACGAACTGGTTAACAATTCAGCTAATAGGTCGGAGTGAAATGGTCCACATTTTCTTATCTCTATTGATTCGCTATATAGAGCGACTATCATCCTGTGTCTTCAGTTGACATCCCCTATCCTTCAAACTGGTTGACCCAACAGGCTACGGCTTTATATAAGAACTCCTGGATATCAACCTGGAAGCACGTCACTAATGAACACTATACAGTAGTGCATTCTGAGGTTAACAGGAGATTTATTTTCTAGATAGAACGACCATGGCATGACCATGTGATAGGTAAAAATGGTCCATTTTTATTTTGCTACACCTTACTCAATGAAAATCAGTTTACATGACTGCATGCAGCTCACTGGTCAAGGCAGTTAACTTGTAACCAAAGGGTCTTAGTTCCGTACCCTGCTTCCCCTAAAGAGATGCTGTATTGCAGGTAATACTATCAGTACAACAGACCTGACTCATTACCTAAGCCTATACCATGAAATAAATGCCGTAATATGTGTAAGTAATAGTCATTTATGTACGAATAGACAGTTCGGTAATAGATTAGTCTTTATTGTGATGTCAACAAATATTGTGTGAAAATCAGGTAACCAGTTGACTTCCCGTCTGTCTAGAATTGTAATCATCGATCAGTAATCGGATACGCTGTTGCCGAGCATATGGTTATTATTATTATTATCAATGCGATTACAAAATACTTGAAGATAAAGAGAACAAAAACAGCTGAGGAAAAAAAGAAATTCGAGACACTTGAACTCGTAAAGTAGAAAATAGTTTTTTTCTAAATGAAATCATAATTTATGACAGAATGAAAAGAAAATTTTCTTTCCTGTATATTGTGTTTTGACCTACCTTTTATTGCCACTCCCAGAAATCAATATCCGATTCTGACATAAAATACATAAACGTATATTTAATACAATATTCGACTGGACAAGGTTTTGAAAGAATACTTAGAAATTAAAGATAACCGACGATAATTGATAGAAGTCTTTTATCTTGTCCTAGTTATATACCTATGTATGTAATCGCAAATACTGGTGTTTGAAAAATAAATATGACTCTTTTATCAACCCTTTGCATACAAAGGTAAGTGGAGTGTGTTTGTCAGACTCAGCTGCATGAGTGAATGGAATACCTCACAAACTAACATTAGAAATACTACTTATGGATAATGGCTAGCAATGTAATCCAGGACACGCGTTTCATTCTACTTGGAACTCGTCCATCTGATATGTCTGTCTTCCACTGAGTGATGCTATTTCCACCAGGACCCGAACTCCGAACCGATTGGTTCAAACACCACAGAGTCATTCACCAGACTAATAAGTCATGAAAGTCACTCTTTATGCGATGGGTGTACTATACTCATGATATCATAGCTTTCGTCACAGTGGATAATGCTCTGGAGTTTGAAGCGATGGTTCCTGAGTTCGAATCCTAGTAGACATAACATCACTCACTGGGGTGCAAGTACATCCAGTTAATGATTCCCAAAGTGGATGAAACGCATGTCCTAGGTTTTATTACTAGTTACTATCCATTATAATCATCGAAATTGGAAATAGAAGCAATTTCTTAGTTGTTACCTTCGTGTAATTCATTTTACCGTTACTGACAAATGAACAACAGAAACTCAAATAATTGACTTTATACGGTTAATTAGGCGGTACTATGGTGACGTGGGTAGAGTAACCAGGAGAAACAGCCATATTTTCGAAGATGTCAATCTTCCAGTCTCGAGAAATGAGTCTATACTAGTGTAGATTGCCTCATGAAATGAAGAGTTTTATGACTAGTTTCCAGATGAACAAATTGAATTTTCCTCTCTGTTCATCTTTACTGGTGGTATTACTATGCCTTCTTCAAGATCACTTAGCTAAATGTAAAAAGCATTCATATCAGCATTACCTTAAGGAATGAAGCAAACTATTCAATTGAACAACTGGTGAAGCAGAGAAATAAAGTTGTAGTACAGCCATCGAATTCGGCAGAACTCCTAGGCATACTTAATCGTGTACACTATCAGTTTAGACAAGAACAGATACAAACAAATTAAAAACCAAGGTAATAACTAAAGTGTAACGAAATGCCAAAGGAAGAGATTTTTAATCAATAGCATGTTTGCGAGAAACAGTTTTAAGTAGGCTATTCAAAATTTACAGCGAATAGAAAAGTGACTAAAGTTTACTGATGTCGCCGTGAACAGAACATTTATTAACCGGATAACGAGTGGGTTGATAGTAACTTCCAAACCTTTCCCACACATACTTGTACATAAAACAACTTAACCTTTGTTTCCTGCCACACTGTATTCGTTATCGTGCTTTGTAATATATGTTGGCTTTTCTTGCCATCTCACATCGTAGTATTTAAAGCATGCATAATAGTCACCTAAAAGGTTCTGCTAGAAAGTATGAATCAATTGTTCCCGTCATGTTTTTTTGTTTGTTTCAAATTTACGTCAGGAAATTAATATTTTCAATTCATCAGTCGTTCAGTAAAAATGATAGGATAGGAATATTTCAATGAAACTTCAAAATTTTGAAACACGGGAAGTTTAAACATTACCTCTGTCAAAGTTTAAATCTATCCACTCAGTCTAGAATTCGGGGATTGTATAATCTTGAAATTACTTGGTAAAGAATTAATTTCTCCTTTTCTACTATTCAAAGTAAAACTCATTTTTTCGGGGTACTGAATCAACCAGTTAATTGATAAAAAGCTCGTTTTACTAGCTACCAACCCTGAGGACAAAGGCACAATTTCAGTACGTAAAGTCATCTGATCAGAACGTTAAGTCTTACGTAGTCCAATAGGGATAAATACTTAGTTGGTCTTATCCTTTGGTTTCTCTTAACACGTCCTCGCACCAAATGAAATAGTCACTAAGACACTTGAGTGACCGTATTCACCTCTAAAATACTATTCACAGTGGAGGTTTGTGAAGATTTATTCGTTGATTTCAGGTTGGTATTTATCATATACTGATATCAGCTAGAGAAAAATTGGAAACCTAGAAGCACTGGACAACTATTACGTCCTACAAGGTGACTCCTCAGCAGTGCGCACCCATGACCTCAGGTTATGTGGTTGGCACGTTACCATTAGGCCACTGGGTCGAACTCCTATGCATTCAAACTTCCTACTTCTGTCAGTTCTGGTCACGCAAGATCGTGAACTGACAGAAGTAAGAAATATGGACCATTGGATTCCAACCCAATGGCTCGATCGTAGCGTGCTGGCTGCGTAACCTGAAAGTCATGCGTGTGCGCTGTTTAGGAGTCACCTACTAAGACGAAGCAGCTGTCCAATACATTCAGGTTTCTACTGTTTTTGCAACTAATATCAGTGTGATGAATATCAACTTGAAATCCTAACTAATGATAAGACACCTAGAGTATAGCAAATAAGCTACTTGATACCGTGGTGATTTATCAAAGGGATTTTTTAAGTATCAATTTATCTAACTGAATAAT